TGCATATCTCATTATTATCTTATTATAATTAGCAAAATATTATTTTGATATTATCTCTAGTATTATAGGTATGTTATCTTAAGTTTTCTTTTTATTAAAATTTTACCTCTTTAAGTGGTGTAACTTGTTTTATGTTGGCAACTAATAATGAGCTGCTTTGATTCTTCTTAGAAAAGCATCTTAGGAACAAATCATATACAGTCTATGTTGTTAACTACTGCTGAGTTGGTTCTGACTCATAGTCAGGCTTCCGAGAAGCAGCTGGTGGGTTTGAACCACCGACCTTGTAGTCAGCAGTCAAGTGCTGATCTTACAGTGCCATCCCAGAATATAAGAAGCATAATAAAGATCTTACTTCATCAGCAAGTTTCCGGTTAAAAATCCTTGACTCTTCCAGTGGTGACCAGATCTTTATGTCATAATCTATGCCAGATGAGGCTAAAACTAAAAACAGAATTTACATATTAATATAAATCTTAGAAATATGGTATGTTTCTACACACACACATACACTCACACACTCCCACTACCTATACAGCAAAACTGAACTTGAGTGAAAATGAAACTATATTAATATACTTGGCTGTTGACTGAAAATATTATTATGAAGATTTCCTAAGAGTTATCTTGGAATGTAATTTTAAAACCATTTTTAAATCACTGAAATTTATTTCTTTCTTATTCACTGCTCTTTTTTGAGATTTATAGATAATATCAAAAAAAGGCAAGAGCACGCAAATGCTTTTGTTCTGGAAAATTCATTCAGACATTAGAAGACTTAAAAAGTGGTTTGATATGGGTAAGTAGTGAAGAGTTCAATTGTGTTGAATATCTCAAAACTGATTAATTGTAGAAAAAATGGTAAGAGAGTCAACTCTGAACTATTATATATATATATATTTTTCAAGAACTAACAGGTGTTTTGTTTGTCCTAAATCCAAGTTGGGTGATAACTGTCTCTAGTGTCTTCCTAGTAGGATAATTTGGATTAGTCTTATAATACAAAGGGGCTTCAAAAAAATTCATGGAAAAATTTCATTCTCTTTTCATTGCATTTTCCTACAAACTTTTGAAGCCTCCTCATAATAGCAATTTTGGGCTCATCAATCATACGAATCACGTCTAACCATTGCCTAAATACGGATATCTTACTTGGGTCAAATGGATGTGGCTGCAGGCAGTTTACCACATGATTATCTGCTTCCAAGAGCATCAAGTGCTCAGCAGTGTGCCGATCCCAGATGAAGATATGGCCACAGTCAGAGCCACTCATTACAAAGTTAGTACCCCAGAAATTGGCTTCTTTTATCTAAAGATTTAAAAAAAAGTAAGTTGCAAGAAAATTCAAATCCAACTTATTATAATGAAGTTTACACTATGCTCACTTAAAAAACAAAAACAAAACTGGCTTACAGAATAAAAAATATTTAAAAAATGGAATAGTCTTTGCCTTGTAGTATCTTAAAGTCCTTGACAGTGATTTCTCATCAGGAATAATGAGGCAGCAAGTAATGGACTCCTTGTGCTTCATTCAATGCTACCTTTTCACTGCCTGAAATAACAGCTGGCACACAGTAGGCAATCAATAGCTGTGGAGTGAAAAAATAGGCTTTGGCTAGTACAATGGAAATTTACACGTGTGTTGTTGAACTTTCCAAGAGTTGTCTCATTTTAGCTTTACAAGGTACCAATCCTTTTACTAGTTACTAGAAGCTTTTATAATTGGGAAGGAAAGATACAAACATTTTCTTTTATGAAGCAATGAGACAAAAGGCATATGACAGGCTGAAATTATGATGATTATGCTTTTTAAACAGATGCACTCTAACAATGAACTATGAGAAAATCTGTGAACTTCAGATCAGGATTTCTTCAGTCACTGCCTCCTGTAGTTGCTCCTTTGCTCCTTTTGGTGCTTACTTAAAAATAAGAGCCAGTTTTTATCTGTTAGTGGGAGCTTCTGTTTTATTTATCTCCTTGCTTTTCTTATTTTTTTCATTCCTTCTCCTAAGTATTCTCACCCAAATTTTTAACCAGAAAAGCTAAGAAATGCTCATCAGTTATATCTATCAATAACAAGCATTCTTTAAACAAAATAAGATAAAATTATCACTGCCAGTGAACTATATGAAGAAAAACAAGTTTTTGTGTAGGATCTGAAGAAGGATCCTGTCTTCACTAACTTAGTAAATATAAGAAAACACTATTTTCTAGAAATGAATGGTTCAGAATAACTGTTATAAACATTAGACACCTAGCAAGATTCACTTACAAATAATTAATATTGCATTAGGTAATGGACTTTGGATTGTAAAAGCTAAAAGAGATCTTAGAGATGACCTGGTCCATTCTATTCATTTTATAGATGAGGAAACTAAAGTCTGGGGAGAGAAAGTAACTCAAAAACAAATGTTCACTTAATCAAATTTAAGAGGGTTATACTATAATAAATCTGGCTATATTTTGCAGTAAACCTGACTGTCATAAACCCAAATCCTTCCCTCCAAAACTAACAAAGGGTACTAACATAGGAACTTGCAAGGAACAAAGCAAGTATGAAACAACAAAAAGAAGCAATAACTACTTGTAAAAACTAAAATTAAAAACAAACAATTCCATATAGTTCCTCAATAAGGTAGAATTTTCTTGTAAAAAATAATGGTCTTTCATGGTCTAATGTCAGGCTAATAGAGAACTATGTTTAGGTATAACTAATTATGAATGTGCTATAACATATTGAAACCATGCTGGCAGAATATGAAGATAATAATTATGGAAAACACATATATAATGAAATCACAATGTCTGTACAATACACCATGAGCATTTTTGTACCATTGTCCTGGAGTTGCGATGACCTTTATACACCACCTTTACCAGTGGCCTTCTAATGCTCAAAGTGTCCAACTCTTCCATTTCTTTCCTTTCTTTTCTCCGCCTGAAAAACTCCTGAATGCGGGCAACAGCAGAGCGTCTATGAATTACAGATAAAAAAAAACAAACAAAAATGAAAAATTCACAGGCTGCTGCAAAGTGATAATGAGAAACACTAAAATAACTCTAGAAAATACTTTCCACGCATTATTTTAATAAAGCACCCTTAACTGAATGCATAAAAAGGGCAAACACAACAGTGAAACTATATCAGACCAGTTGAGTTACTAGAATAAAATGTTTTAGTGAAAGAGATCACTTAGAAATTTGGTACTAGTTGAGAAAGTAAAGGAAATAGCATGCGGCACACTGTTTTTTAAAGGGCTGTTTTTTTGTGTGTGTGTTTTTTATATGTTTTATTGTGAATTATATGATAGTTTACATGGGAGAACATTAGTTTTACATTCATTCTATCATACATCGTCTCATTGCCATGGTTACAATCCCCTCCATGCATCATCAACTGACCAAAGGGTATACCCTGCAAGCCTGCCCCCTACACTATTGCGCCCCCTCCCCGCCGCCCCCCCCCCAGCCAAGTCTTCAGCACACAGTTGTTCTCCCTCTCTGGATCTTAAAGGGCTGTTTTATAGAAACATAATTTAGATATAAAACTAAGGTGCAATTAACTTATAAATAAAACATATCTGATTCTATTTTCTTCTCTTTCACTTCATATTAGGGAAAGTAAAGCTATAAAGAGAAACCAAAAGAAACTAAGGATAATATATAATATGAATGAGTGAATTTATGGTTTTGGATTTTATTTAAAACACTGTTTAGGAGAGGCGGGACTTGATGGTGGATAGGGTTGAGGTGCACTGAATTTCGCTGTCAGCAACACCACAGAATACCAGGCAAAGCAATAGTCTGTGGTATTGCGTAGAGAGTTTAAAAACAAAACAAAACACACAGAGCTCCAAAACTCTGAACCACATATGTAGGAATATTAAAAAAATGTTTGAAGGCTTATAGCTAGTGGAACTCATAGTGGAAGTTAGAAATGGCACACTTTTAAACCTGCCAGTCTCAGTGGCACGGAGCTGACAACTGGGGTGAGACCAACCGGCAAGACCAAGCTGGGGAGCAGACACACCATGGAATAACGCCGGGGGAACCTCGGAGCAAAGATGGACAATACACTTTGCCGGTTTTGCTTTGTTCTGATTTTTTTTGTGTGTCTGTTCATTAGCTCCCCTCCCCCACTGTTTGCGCACCTCCATTGTGGTGACTAGAGGGGGTGCCTGAGCAAATGGACACTTCCCACCCCCACCACTGGTGGGTTCTTCTGCCATGCATGCACAAAGATACTCTCAGACTAAGAGCCAGCCCTGAACTGTTTTTCAATAGAGAAAAGGGGTGTGGAGAGGGAAAAAGAGTTTAAAAACCAAACAGGCCGAAAATTAAATAAAATTAAATCCTGACGTACAGCATAACAACCAACAGTGGCATCTGGAAATCTCTCAGGCAGCTTTGAAGGCAAGAAGCTGAAAGTGGACATTAAAGTCATATTCATATTAGGCTACAGAATTTTTCTTTTTTCTTCTTCTTCTCTCCCTCCTCTCCATTTTCTGTGATCATAGACTACAGCATCCAATCTAGTTTTTTTTGTTGTCATTTTTTTCCCTTCTTTTTTTGCTGTTGCTATTTTGTTGTTTTATGCTCCCCCTTTCACCTTCAGGGGACTCTTTCCCTCCCAATATTACCCAAAAGAGACAGCAACTGCTGCCATACAGTCAAGCTACAATCACATTCTATAAAACACCTAAATCCAAGCAAGAACCAATACCAACTGCCATAAACCAGAGCGGCAGACAACACCTGTGAAAGTTACTCTGAGTAAAGCAATAAGAAGAGCGAAAAGGGAAACCCAATGCTGATCACATCTACCTGGAGGCAAAAAGAAAGCATAAAAAATGCCAAAACACATACTCAATGAAGTATTAAGGCCATAGATAAACACTAAACATGTCCAAGAAGCAAAAGCAGATGACCATATCAGCACATGTCCAGAAACAAGATAAAATGTCTGAAACAAATGACCTAAGTTAGACCTCCTGGACTACATTCTGCAAGGAGGGCAAGCCTTGGAAATGCCTGAGAAGGAAATTAGAAAAATGAATATAAAACGTTTCAAAACACTTTACAATGGAGTTGAGAAAAATAAGGAAGAAGTCAGGAAAGCACCACAGGAACAATCAAATAAGATAGATACAGCTTTGGAAACAATTCAAAACCTACAGTAAGAGGTCCAAATGATCGATAATAGAATATCAGAAATAGACAAAGGAGTAGAATAGAAGAGATGGAAGGCTGAACGAGTGATCTGGAAGACAAATCTCTCAATACCACTAAGATAGAAGAGCAAACAGAAAAAAGGATTTAAAAGTCTGAAGAAGGTCTAAGATTCATGTTGGACAACAGGAAGGGGAATAACTTAAGAATTATCGGCATTCCAGAACAGGAAGAATCACACAAGTCCATAGAGGAAATAGTTGAACTGCTAGAAGAAAATTTTCCTAACATCCTGAAAAGTGAAAAGATAAACATTCAAGAAGCTCAATGAACCTCAGGAAGGAAAGATCCCAAAAGAAAATCACCAAGACATATCATAATCAAGCTCTCCAAAATCAAAGATAAGGAGACAATCCTGAAAGCAGCCAGGGAAAAGAGAAGCATTATATACAAAGTCAAGCAAGTCAGATTAAGCTCGGATCTCTCAACAGAAGCAATGCAAGCAAGAAGGCCATGGGGAGACATATATAAAACCCTGAAAGAAAAAAACTGTCAAACTTTATCCATCAAAGTTATCCATCAAATACGACGATATAATCAAAACATTCCAGGATAAACAGAAGCTAAGGGATTTTGTCAAAGCCAACCCTGCATTACAAAACACCCTAAAGGGAGTTCTATGGACT